TTTTTTTTTATTATTTGAACAGGATTATTTCCATTGATCTTGTAAACATTTCATCCAATCTCGGGTTATCACTTCGCGTTTTTCATTGCTTGTGTTACTTTGCAATGTGTCTCCATTCATTGTAAATTTTGTTGTCTTCGATAGTCTGTAGTTCTGGGGCGGTATTTATCAATCCTCCACTCGCTGTTCGGGCCATTATTAACGAGTTCCCGGACAGGCGAGAGCGCCTATCCCGCTATTTAAGAAAGTCTGGAGAGCGTGGCCCAAAGGGGCAGCAGAACCCGACCTGTTGCATCGGGCTCTGCTGCCCGACATGTCGAAACTTGCCAGATCGCACCTTATTGTTAAATACGTAGGAGCCCGATCACCAGCTTAGCTTTATGAATCGCGGGTGCCAGTGCCCGTTACGAGCTACTACTTATACAGGAACCCCTTCCCATACAAGAACTTGATAAATATCGCCCCTGGTCAGTCACGTTCTTAATACAGTTAGGAGTTGACGCACAACACGTTGCTGTAAATTGTATCATGAATCTTCTAACAAAAGTTTGTGGTTTTGCTCGCAGTTTTGTCTAGATTGCTAGAGATTTACTAACTTCAGATTCAGTACCTGTTTGAAACATTCGATTCTGTTTTCAGCACAAGGCGTAAATGATGCTCTGGGAATCGGCGCTACTCCAGGTGGACAAGGAAGTTGGGGTACGCCAATGGGAGCGGCACCAGGCGACTTCGGTGAGGCCGCGAAAATCTGGTCCGACCCTCACGTAGATCAACAGCAACAACAGTTTAACCCCATGCACGGACATCATCGTAAGTAACGCTCTAGCACCGTTAATGCTTGCATGACAAATTGAGTGGTCAAAAGCCACTTAGTGGAACGTCGTAACCTTGAACGTTATGTGATTCGGCTATTTCTCTTTGCTTTCGTTGATTTTTCGCTTTGCTATTTTCTGCGATGTCGGCACACTAAATACGAAACCCCGATTGTTTACTGTTGAAGATACTCTCAGATTAGCTCAATATAAAACCACATAAAACCACAAGCATTTTCATTTTGTTGATCTTCTTTATCGCTGAAGAGCCTATACTTACGGCGATGACGTCATTGAGCCACACTTGTACCTGCAGTATAGCGTGAACCTCATTTACTGCATAGTTGTGATCAGCACCTTCTCGACCGTGCAGTTGCTGCTCACTTTCACCAACAGTCCTTCTAGGAGGAATGAACGGGATGATGGACCCACAAGGTGGGAGCGATTGGATGGGTACTCCAGGCCTCAACCAGATGCCGTTATGGGGTGATTTACAAAAGCAAGACCATGATGGTTACTGGAAACATCAACAGCAAGTAATTGTTGAAAAATTTCTTTTTTCACGCATTGCGAAAAACTGTGTGGATTGTAACATCCTTTACGATTTAGGCTGGCGGTTGGGGTGGACCACCAAGTGGCTTAGGTGCGTGGCCACCGCGTCAGATGCATCCGAACGCCCCACCACCACAACACGGCGCACATGGACAACCACCGCGAATGTTCGTGCAGCGACCTCCACAAGGTGACAATGTGCTTTTTGCTTCCTTTTCTATAGCTTGGTTGTTTTTTAGTGTGGGCGCCGAATGGTGGAATGATGGGTGGACCACCAGTCGGGAAGCAAGCAATGCCATGGGATCAGCAACGTATGACGGGTATGCCACGGGGTGGAATGGGTCGTGGTGCTCCAGCGGGTGGCCGATATCCTCCTGGTGGAATGGACATGAGTGTACCTCCTCCAATCGACTTGCCTGTAAGCTTCGATATTCTCAAATAAGCATCCCTCCTTACACTTCTCATATCTCTGTTTCCAAGATTAGGTGGTAGATATGCTCACAAGCTGTGGATTGTGATCAAACACCGTCACTAATCACAACCGAACACCAATATATGCAATTTTAGCTGAGTGGAATGTCTGGAATGCGGCAGATGGCTCCACCGAATGCTGCAGGAACATGGAAGCCTGAGATTGGCGTTCCACCGAACGGCATACGAGGCGCAACAGCATTTGGACAGGTATGTTATCGCTGTCATGGGTTATGCATTTCGATGATATTTTAGATGGCTGCTCCATTGATAATGTCCGGAAAGCCGCAGGCTGCACCGAACCAGTTCCCTATCGGTGGTGTGGACGATCTGATGTGGCACGATCCGAATGGAGATCTGAAGAAATGGCAGCGAGATACTGGAGTGTCTTTGTGGGGCGATCCAGAGAAAAACAGTGCGTAATAGTTTAGTTGCCGTGATCTGGAACTGCTTTATGCGTTTAGTTAGAAATCTTTTTTCAGATGAGCGCCCTGTACGCTTGTGGATGATAGGCGAAGGTGAAGAAGAGGACTTAGAAGTGGCATTGATGAAATGCCCGGTTCCGCAGAAGAAGGTGGATGGAAGTGTTAGTCTAAACGCTTACCCTGTGTCTCGTTTGGCGTGTGTCAATAGTGCCCAGTTGTCTCGGACTCCCCGATAGTCTGCTCATTTCACTTGTTCAATTATTGCTTGCAGAATGAGGATGGCTCGGCGCGGTTGCCGTTCCCGATACCTGCCAAACGCCCTATCGTAGTGACCGGATGGGGAGAACTGCCAGAAAATGATCCCAATAACCCGATAAAACATGGTGCGTTTCGCATCACTCTATGACCTTTGTTTCGAACTTCCTTTCAGATGAAGCTCAACCCGGTTCTGGAAAGTGGGGAGAAATTCCTTCACATTCACAACACACTAGTGACTCGCCATGGTCCTTGCCTTTTCAACAACAACCTCAACCTC